TGTTTCATTTAGTAATCAGAACAATGCTTACATGATACTGACTAAAACATTTACGTCATACTGCCTGATGATGATTTCTTGGGCATGTACTGTGGATGTAACTTCCAGCCTGGACAGAGCACGGTGTCACGTGAAGTTTGAAGAGCCTAGTGAATCTTACCGGTACTTCTTTATGATATGTTATACAGGCATCAGAACGGAGTTCTAGTATAGAAATAATGGACTTGCTTGGGTCATTTTATACCGTCTTACGCATTGTTGAATCAGCATGCGTGGCATCTCTTACATGTCGGCGTGGTGGGGCGTGACACCTGCCTGGTGGGACACTAGGGAAAATTCCCTACTTAGCATCAAAGGGAAATTTCCCTTTGATACAGACAATAACCATAGCGGCTTGAATAGGCACTGAACTTATTGTGTCAGCCCAAATCAGTGAAGGTCGCACGTTATGGGCGAGCAGATGCTCACACGGAAATCTAAAATGAAAACAGTTTGTGCATGCCAACGGTGACGATTTGCAAAAGATATCCACTTAGAAGTCGCCATGAAATACAATTGTTGGCTCAAGAACAAGGACTAGCATGGATGCTAATTTTGAAGGAAAATCTGTGCATTAAACAGTGGTAACTTTAAAAATTATTGTTATGGGACTGTAATAGTTTAGTTAATGTTTTTAAAATGCGTAAGAAGGCATTTTCCTGTTTGTATAACGATGACTATAGGCAACCGTGAACGAATAAAGAGTCTATCGAGAGTAAATTATCTGCAATCTTGTACTTTGATGTTCTTGATTCTAAAGCAAGACACTCGAGCTCATACAGAGAGCTTTGAGTCGTTGTACACTTGCTACAGCTGGGTCTTTATGTACATTTCGGACAGACCATCTAGACATACTTCGAAAGGGTCTTCTGAAAACGGTCTTAGTAACCTGCCTATCAGGCTCTCTGCCACCAAACCACCAAGGCGGACAGATCATGATTACGCCAGTTAGAAAAGGTGTGAGATCGATCACGAGTCGTTTACCAAATGTGTGAAAAATGTGTGAACGTCTTAGAGTAAAGTTATTAAACATGTATTAAGGTTTGTTAGTACAATCAATTATCTCAACTCGAGCTCACAGGTGATCAATTTCGTGATCTTGAATCAGAACAATTGGATTATTAATTGATAGCGCTTAAGCGTTAAAAATCAACCATAGCAGTGTAAAATCATTAACGCTTTAGAGTGTAGATTAAACAACAGAAAACTAAAGAATAAGCAGGAGAATGAGCAATTAATTATTTAGCTATGATTTCAGTGTTTCAACTTTATTACATTTAATCAGTTTTATGAGTCTGTTATCTACCCACGTAATATTGCCAAATATGGCAGATCACATGTTCCTTTTTAACTTTACTATATAGTTAGCAAACAGCCTAATTATGTAGTTAGTAGTCAGGAAAAACTCGATGGAGATGGAACTCAGTGCACTGAACCGACTATGGCTTATACTAATTTAGCTCAACCTCAGGTGGGAAACTACAAAACAGAACTAGAAAACCTGAAAATCCAAAAACAACATCAAAAGAAAAGATAGCTAGCCTTTGTGATCGCATGACGTTTTGAAGAAGAGTGGCATGGACAAGCCTACGATCATTGGTATATATTGTGCGCCGCCGTTTAACGGTTAAACGTTGTTGAACTACTGCAATTTGGTAAGTTTTTGTGCCGTTCTTCCTTCTATACTTCCTCTATACCAACAGTTCGAGAGTACGAGGTTCACTAGCTTGGCAGTAATGCACTAGGTTGGGTTGAATTGCGGGTATTTATTAGCGCCGCGTCAATTACGATGTACATTTTAGGAACAACACGTGGCGGTCGTATAAGCAAAGGGGGCGCACTCGTCACGACTTGACGCACAAGGGAAAATTCCCTTGAGCGAACAGCCAATCACAGACAACTTATATCGGCAGGTCGTCTGTGATATAAGTAGGGAAAATTCCCTACATTGAAACCGAATCACCTGGCTCGTAAACAGGGAATTTTCCCTTCTTCCAGATGTTTCTATTAATAATCTTTATTCACTTTCTGTGGCCTAAGTATTGTTCTATTTTCAATTCGTTTGTTCTATAATTATTGTCAGAGTTTTACACTTAAAAAGCCGTTGAAAATTTGATTATTATTCGTTATCATACATATAAAAAAGGCGTTACCTCCGAGGCATCACGGGATAGGGGAAAGTCCCTAGTAGTTTGTCTATGCCTCTGTTTCTCCATGTCTTCTCCATGTATGTTATATAATATAAGCTTAATTGAATTCATTGTATTATTCACTGTTGCCTATTTCAGAAGGCGAACACAAAACAATGCCGAGTGACTTTGGTAAAGAGCCCTCATGTTTAACTTTAGTGCAAGAATACTATACTCACTCATGCCGCAATATCAAGTTAAATGAAGACAACAAAATCAGACTTTGATCTATTACTCAAAATGAACTTCATATCAATATCGAAGTTTCAAAAAAGATGGAAGGTGATTTTTTTTCTGTGTTATTAAAATTTTGGCAGATAAAGGCACCATGATACATAGTCTCATATAAATCTGCCAAAAATGCCTCTTATCTCTTGAGAAAGTTTCACTTTCATAAATTAGTGCTCAATTCACACGTTATGACTTGGTAAGGTAAAAATCAGTTGAACGATATTGTACTAAAAAGTTGTATTTTTATCATTCATAGGAAACCATAATCTGGCCTGGGCGGCACAGATGTGACTTACTCCTGAAATATTGAAAGTGAGTAAAAATACTAAGTGACACATTATCCGCATAACTAATAAATTATGCTCTCTTTCATTTATCAGTTGGTGATATTAAATTGTTAAGGGAGATTCCCTTTTATGGCATTGTTTATATAGAACTTAGAGGTCTGACTGACACGTTATTAGCGTATTTGTTTGCACGCAGACGATTTAGGGAATTTTCCCCCAATCAATTATGCATTGTTTTGGCTTGGAAGGTCACAAATATAGAACGTTACCTGCGTTGCCAGTGGTTTGCGGTTTCATCACATGCAAACAATTAGATGGTAACGCTGATCACTTTTTCTATTTCCAATTCAAAAAATAACAAAAACGTTCCAAAAAGCAGGCGACGTTTGTCGCTGTGAAACCACCTTACAAATAGTCGTATGCACTTAAAATCACCGTAACAACAGAACGTTTGCATGAAACAGTCACATTTACTAAATCCGCCATACTGCATGCAAAAGAATGTGAAGAAAGGGACGCAGGGCGTCAAGCTTAACTTTTTTCTGTTATGATCTATCCCAGTATATTTTGGCAAACAGCATGGCGGATTTAGTACCGGGCTCCCTATGTATTGGTATCCTTTTTAACGGCCAGCGATTATTCTCGATCAGCGTCGTACTGGTGCTATTTCTCAGAAAGATCGTACCTCGAGCCCTCGCTTTTCTTGGGCAGCGCCTCGACAAACACTACACTTACGTTTTCGGCGCTGGCCAAGAGAACGAGGACTCGGGGTACGAGATGTTTTCCCACCCAGGCTCTCGTTTTCGTTCATAAAATTCCCCAAGTTGATGTCACAGAAGGTCGAAAAAGGAACGTCACGCGCCTTTCGTTCCGTGCGTGTATAAGACTTGAATCAGTAGCGGGGTTTTTTCCCGGAACACCCTTGGCTCGATGGCTCGATACTCTCTATTGTCTTCCTTTTTAATTTCTATTGTTGCTTTCTTGTTTGCTTTATAATTGTTTGAAACTAGATATTATATTGTAGCATTCCAATATTAATCCTTGGTTTCGACCGATGATGCTTTTTATACTTCTAAAATTCGGGAAATTGTTCCTGTTTATTCTGAAACATTCAGTACACTGACGGTTTTTATTACAATTAAATCTATTTTTACAGGAAAATAGCGTCTATTTCTTAGACGATCAGCTAAAATTGCATTAAAGCCTCAAAAGTTATCATTTGAGTTACCAGAAGAAAGATGGTATAGAATTCTGATCGTTTATTACTGAAGTGTATTTATTGGGCTACCTGTGTTTCATTTTACGTGACTGGACACGTCATCTATTTATTATAATCATGTTAGTAAGCACGTTAACTTTCACATAGCTAGTTACTCAATTTATTGTAAATGGATTGTATTTGAAAGGTTGTACCGAATTCTTGGTTTGCAATAAATCATAAATCTTTCGAAATCTTGACTCCTACACAGTCTCCTGCTCGGCTAGTGATGCATGACGGGAAGAGGGACTTTCCCTTTTATATATTGGAGATGTGGCTGTCTAACAACCGAAACTATTATACAATACAGTATATGGTCAGCAAAAATGAGTCGTTCCCTAGAAATTAGTAGAGGGACAACAAGCAATGAAGACTTGGTCAAACGTAAAGCACAGAGTCTTGTCACAAATATTGGCAAATCAACCGAAGGCATAGACGAATATTTTGACCCTCCTCTAGAGAGCAAATACGAATGTCCGATTTGTCTTCTTGGCCTAAGGGAACCAGTTCAAACACAGTGTGGTCACCGCTTCTGCAGAAACTGTATTGTCCGATCTTTAAGGTATATTCGAGTATTTACTACACTAGATATTATATAAGTCAATAGCAAATCGAAAAAAAACCGTTGCAGTATTTTAAAATTTGAGACGGGTAAAAAATTAACAAATTTTCCCGTTTGAGTTTATGGAAAAAAGTGAAAAAAATGAAAATGAGAGTAATTTGTAGCATTTTCTATCCAATGAAGTAAGCCCTGCCCCTTATAGATGATTGGCTGTTATCAAGAATAGAATTGAGTAGGCCACGTACTGCACCAGCCTTTGTGAGAGCACACACTCTGCCTGCACTAGAATTTCTCAGATTGTTTTTCACTTGCAAGATTCTTAAAACTTTCAGTTAGCAAAGATTTTTTGGTTATAAAGCTTGATATTATCAAACGCAAAAACATAGCATACTGTATCAGCTAATGGCACACTTCATTTAATTGGACAACAATTAATATTATTGGATGGCAATTAATACGAACCGTTAACTGGGTGTGGTGGCGTATATGTGATACACATGCCAAGATAGCATCAGACATATCTATAGTCTACAAAGTATGGAGTATAACATTGAATGGCATTGAACCTACACACTTGGATAGTGTCCACCATGTATGTGTACTTGTACCTGTGTATACATGTACCAGGGAGTTGATAGCCCATTACAGCTACCAACTGCCAAACTTTCAAACTTATTCTGTGTTCTGATGGAATACTCTACTTTTCTGGTATAACTTGTCTAATGTCAAATTGTCCTTTTATAAGGAAAAAGAATGGATGAAAAAGGAATCTTGTGATGATTTCCTGAGAGAAGGTTTAAACTGAGAGTTGCTGCAGTGAAATAATATCCTTCTTGTCTGCAAGTCCATACTCTCTTTTTTCATTCAGCTAGCAAGCTGTAAAGGTTTTTACCTTTACATGTTAGTAAATGAATATGGAAATACACTTAATAAATAATCCACAGCAGCAAGGACTTATTTTATTTTAATGTACATTGTGCTGCTAAAGGACAACCTCATAATAATATTGATATCAAAACATTTCATCTCTTTATGTGAAATGTAAACTGTTTAAAACTCTCTTGAGTTTTAAAGCTAGTATATTCAATCCAATGCAATTTCCACATACAAACTCAATGTTTAAGATGTCAAAACTATGATTTGTGGCATACATGTATGTGAGTATACTTTCAATTTCAATTTCTATTTGATATTCTAATAGGTTAACCCTTTCTGCTCTTTGTTGTCCAGTCAACGTCTGAGAAATCAGTAATTAATTGCTTCTTATTCTAACAACATATTTTCTTTTTAATAAGAAACTACTAGTATAAGTAGTTTTTTCATTTATCATATGACAATTTATAACTACTTTTCTAATCTAGTCCTAGTCAGTCAGTTCTTAAATCAGTCTCCTTGCTATAAATAATCAAGTTCACCAACACTGACAAACAGGATGTATTCTGGGTGACAAGTTAAGCCTGGACTCTTTTATCATTCATAGGCTACAGTTATCATTGTGGATTTTCTACCTAACAGTCATACATTATTATGGCTGAACCTGGTTTATTCAAAATGTTCAATGTTATATGTTGTTAAGATTAATGTTTACTGAAATAATCAGAAGCTAGGTAGAAACATTTCACTATTTTCACATTGTTTTCAAGGTTTTTCTATGGAAAGATCATTTGAGAATTCAGTTGTTTTCAAAGTATTTTTTGGTATTCAAACCATGGTTAACTATGTTCAAACCAATCAATTGGAAAGTTTTGTAATTTGCATCTGTATAATTAACTGCATGTAAGCAAAATGTTTGAAATATTTTTGAATTTGGTCATTTATAAAAAGTAATTTCTGACATAATGCCCTTGCTATCAGCTCAAAGTTTCTATTTTGAGGTAATTTTCCCTCTCAACAAGGAACAGTTCCTGTGTAAACAGGCTATGTCAATGTCAAGGAAAACCAGTATATTTCCTGTTTAAACAGGTTATGCAGTAAAGTATGCAACTTAAGCATTTTTTGAAGAAATAAGTGCCAAGTGTCATTTTAACAGTTTTAGTAAACTTCATCCAAAAATCTCACCTGTTCAACAATGGTTGAAAGGATTATTGTCAATTAACTACATTTTTTGATCTGAAACAATAGAATCAAGGCATTATATAGAAATGTGTTTGCTGACATTCCCATCAATCATTACATGATAAAAATGATATTCTTGTAAACAAATCATGATGAAAATGATATTCTTGTGAGGCAGTGTAACAATAGATTTGAATTCACTATATCATTGATTTTGTAAGACAATTAACATTGTTAATTTGTTTACAAGAATATCATTATATTTATCATGATTTGTTTACAAGAATATCATTTTTATCATGATTTGTTTTCAAAAATATCATATTTATGATGGTTTGGTTACAAGAATATCAATTTTATCATGATTTGGTTACAAGAATATCATATTTATCATGATTTGTTTGATATTGGAAGTCTTTAATTAGTGAAATACAATAAATATGTATCACAGTTTAATACCTCAAAATTCCAATAGTACAATTAAAGTCTATGTTTTGCCAATAAATGAATTGTTAATGTATATATATATATTATAATTATTAATCAATTATTATTGTATTTCACCTCTTTACAGAGATGCTGGCAACAAGTGCCCTGTTGACAATGTACCTCTGTCAGAATCCGGAGTAAGTACAATGTACACAAGTGATATGTAGATTGGTGGCTTGACTGTATTTGCAAGCCAAACAAACAGTTTTTCCTCTGGCATATCAGTGTCACTTGTTTATTCATCACATAAAACATATAAAGTATGCTTTATTTTATGATAAGTCCTGTGAATTATATCTCAATTAAACAGTATTCAATACAATCTGTGTAATAGCTCTATCCAGACAACTTTGCCAAGAGAGAAATGGGTATGTTCACTGTATGGTGCAGATATCACAAAGAAAGAGGATGCCCATGGAAAGGAGCACTAAACGATCTGGAGGTATGTTCAGTCAGTCAAGTTAATGTACAGTTGTAAAGACAGAAAGAAAACATTATAACGTCATTTGCATATATCATGCTACATGTACAATGTTTTGAGATAAATGGGGCAAACTGATCATGTGCAAATCACAAAGCACTCTGGAAATCCCACATTGATTTGAATATGCATAAAGTAAAATAAGACAGCCGGTGGCTGTTTTACTGCAATTGGTTGACATCCTGCATTGGTCAATGATCAGGTTTCAAACCTGAGACCTTTGCTAGGGTCATGGACCTTTATATCTGATAAAGGTCACCTTTATTAGTATTCTTTATAAAGAATACTAATAAGGAGTGTTTTATCAGATATAAAGGTCCATGCATGTGACCCAATAGGCCCATTCTATTTGCCTAATTCATTAATTATGTATGAGTTTTCTAACTGCAGTTTAAATTGAAATTCCTTCCTAATTTAAGAATGTTGTATGTAAATGACGTTTTTGTTATCTTATGTTGTTTTAACTGGTCAACATTATCGGATTGACTGCATACCTGTTTAGTAAAAAACTGCAAGAAAAGGCATAACCATTGCAACAAGAATATGGCGGCATATATTGTATACGTATTCATCGACCAAAGCTATCAACTATCAACAACGCGTCCATATTTGATTCTTGTATTTTTATCCCAATAGAGTCACTTAAAGAGCTGCCCATATAGTGACGTCACATGTCCAAACAATTGTGGTACTGTTGTTCAACTGAAAGATATTGAAGAACATTTGGTTCTCTGCCCAAAACGAAAAGAAAAATGTGAATTCT